CACCGAAGACCTTTGGCGAACGCTGATCAACGGTAATTCAACCCGGAAAGGGCGGACTCGGCGGGGTATATGGTTGCCAGATATTTTATCCACAACAGCGTTCCGGCAACAGCGAGGCTGTATACAGACAGACCCCCCTCGTGGAAAATTAATGCCGGTAAATAAAATATCGATAAGTTTCGGCAAGCAAAGGCATCTGGAAACGGTTTGAATATCGTCCAATGCCGCTGACTCGTAAGACCGTTTCCCCCCTAAGGGCATCTCCTCAGTTGTTGTTTTCGAAAATGTGCATTTGATGTTTTCTTTTTTCGTTATCCTACTCCACCGTGCCCGCGGCCAATCGTCGAGAACAATGAAAGAAACGATTTTTGAATTTGGTTCTTCCTTATAGTATTGAGATTATTACGGTTCGATGGACCCTTACGTTTTTGTGCTGGTTTCATTTTTTGGCAAGCAGGAAACCGGAAGAGCGTTTCCGTTGCATAGCTCGGCTTAAGTTTGAACGCACGCACTTCGACGCCAATGCGCAAACTTACAATGTCCGACCGTGCTCGCTGACGTATAATTCTATTATCAGTATATATTGTTAATTCGATTATATTATAAACTTACTACAGCAAAAGCTAACGCAGTAGCTATTCAGAATTTGTTTTCAAAAGGGGGAGGAAGCGACCCTCTGACATAATGAAATAAGAGTAAGTATACGGATGGGAGAAATCAACTTTAACTTGATAACAAAAATAAAAACAAAATATTTCATACACAAAGTGTGTCGAAACTAAATGTCACACTATATAGGTATAAATTTAACGTATCTTAAAATTTCTCTGATAATATAATATTATAATTTTTTTTATTTTTGACTCCTTGTTATACATAATTTTATTTAAAAATATCCTTGGTGAGTTTTACAAAAAGGTAATACATTTGTATGATGGCCCACAATAAATTATACACAGGACACATTTATATGTACAAGAAACCAATAAATACGCTATTATGATACCGTATGGTAGAAACTACTATATAATATAATTTACAATTATTATTAACTTTTGTATGTTTCCCACAGCATTGGTAGCTTTTGAAATTCAAATGGTAATCTTTGTTTTAAAATGTTTTTTGATAAATAACAATCTTTCAAAAATACAACATCTAGTCGACAAAAAATGTTGAAATAATAAGCATTTAAAAGTATTTGAGGCGATAATATGTAAATCGGTATCGTTTTTAGGTACACATCGAATAACTCTAAAATTAATTAATCAACAGCTAGTTAATAGTTATCGACCAATCTAAACGTTTAGTAGATTATTCCTAAGTTAAAAGGACGATGTCATAAACAATAGCGGTATTATTTAGGTTCAAAATGTATTAAATATAATTATTCTCATGATGATATATAAATTAACATGTCATTCTTTTCGGAGTACATTTTTAAAATTTATTTTTCTCATTGGACCTAAATTTAAAGATAAAAAAAAGCGACATTTAAAACAAATGATTTCTGAGATAAATTTAACTTATACAATTAAATGTTTAAAACAAATGTATTGCCTCCCGTCCCCATATTTTGCATTAATTTAATGATACCGTGTGCTTAGAGATAAGGCACCCTGTATCGGTAGTCGTGAACTTGAACTTCTCGTTTTCATAACTAAACTTTAGTTTTGACGCTATTGCAGAGAGTCAAGAGGCTCCGCTACTGTATAAATATTATTCTGTTATTCTTGAGCGTAAACAAAACATAGCGCCAACACTTTGAGTAAAGTTACTTTTCGATTTAACCGATCAAAATTAAAACAATTCAATAATAACATTTGTTATAAGCAAATAACGCAGAAAAAAATACTTATTAACTGAAAACATTTTATGATCTATATATAAGGAAAAATTGTACATCAAAAACAGTTGGAATAACGTTTCTATAGTCTGTTTCGAATAGATTGTGCTGTGTGGAAATATATATCACTGAAAATAACAAACATACGCCTTGGTCGGCTGACAAAATTTAACGGTTACTATTTTTTTTTTATAAACACTAGCGTCGGTAAACATTTTTGAAAACATCAACCGTAATTACGCAGCATCGAGTACACGTGAGACGTCTCCCGTGAGATCCTGTAAGTTGAAATCCCACTTAAAGCTCCGCAAACCCGAATTCTTCGTCTTAATCCCTATCCCAAAGCGTCGAGTGTTTATTGGAAGAGTTTTTGTAAAGTGTAAAGATATTTGGAAATCTCCCGGGTAAAAGCATGTCGCTAGATGCCGGAAAATGAGTCTCTGAAAATGTATTCGTCGTATTTGCCAACAAGTGCTGGAGATGATTACATTGGCAAACAACGCCCCGGGGAATTTAGTTTGTTATTATCAATAAAAAATCCATTCAAGTCGAGAACGCTTAAATTCATCTAAATACGTACATACTAGAAATATTTAAGGGTTTATTTAGTAGTATTACTAAGTATTTGATTTGAATTGTTAAGGGGTTTTAATTTAAATAAAATATTATCGTTTCTTTAGGTAAAATATATCGAATATGTTACTTGGATAATATACAACTTATTTATGTACTAAAAATAACGTGTAAAATTATTTCTCAATAACTGCAAATATAAAACCATAAAATAAATAACCGCAACAAACATACAATACCTGCGGGTTGTTTTTTTTTGCAAAAAAGTTCAACCTTTCTCCTATAATAATGTTATATTATTAATATAAGTGTAATACCCTGTGTTATTAATAATTATAAATCGCCTAGTAATTAGGAGGGTACCTACTAGTTACGGGAATCCAAAAATCCGGAATTAAAAAAAAAAATGCTAATTAAGCCACTTAAAAATCGTATAAATATTAAATATTATTACAATATAAAGCTGTGTACTTAAGTAAAATGGTTTTATGAAAATTTAAAAAAAGAACGCTTAACTTTGACAATAAATTGCTTTCGGATTTTATTAAATCTGAAATCCAAAAACAATTTATCTTCTTGGTGTTGCGTTTCATTGTTTTCATCAAAAGTATTTTACTTAGGTACACAGCTTTAGGTATGTTGTAATAATATTTGATACTTAAAAAGTATTTAAGTGCCTTAAATAGCGTTTATTTGTGAAAACCCGGATCACTAGTATCTACATCTTATTATTGTATTTTGTTTGACATGCGACACTATCGTATAATGTTTCTTAAGCGGTAAACAATATTTTTTTTTTATTCGAATTGGAGTGGCTATAAAGGTATTCTATTAGTACAACTTATATAACAATAATATTGCATTTGAAACGAATTTATTTCAAATGCGTTCAACAACATACTATAAATGACAGTAGAAAAAGAACGGGTAAATGGGACAGAAGTGAGAAGTAATCACATCCGTAAAGAGAATATATTTTATTATAAAGGTATCATGCGCGTGTGTGCCATACAATGTAATAATAATTTTAAATATATTATATGCGTGACGCACAATAAACAATAATTACATTCGTGTGCGGGATGTGGTCCCCCGTACAGTACATTTCATACAAGATTACAGGAGAAGAGAATACATATTACAAGATGGCGATGACTATATTATGTGAAAGTCTTGTATGTATGTACGACGAGTGTCTTTGGTGTAATGAAATTATTCGTTGCAAAGCTTTAGAAGAGAATTTAATTTCAACAATGTAATAATATTATCTTGAATAATTTGATCATGCCCCGCTGATACGAGCGGTCTCGATTCGGGATGTGCAGTGTAGTTCATTGATATACAGAATTTACCGAAACAAATGTCACAGTCTACATCAGTATGTTACTACATAGACGGCCCTAGGAATAGAGTTTTTGGAACTTTTTTTGTCAAATACTCACGGCTTTTCCGGGTTAGGCAGCAGCAGAGCCAAGGCTGAAACATACAGGTTGTTTTATATACGGTTATTGCACATCGTCTCGAATTGTTATCTTCGGAAATAAGATGGCAGCGTAAGAGTATTTCAATTTTACTATTGCTATATATTTTACTGTGTACGTATATACTTGATTTTAGCTGCCGTTATGCTGACATATTTGTTTTTATCGTCGAATATTTTATGAAGAAAGGGTACATGTGCATTAACCTTGTATATTTCAATCGTTAGCGGAGCTCACAACACGTAACCAGCTCACAACACGGCCCTGAAGATGATAGGCTTCCGTAAAGTTGGCAAAGCCAATTTGTAAATTTGTAAAATATAAACCATATAAATATTTCAAATAATTTTTTTTTAATACATTGATTATACAGGTTATTAAAATAGAACAATACAATTTGAAACCGTAAATAAAAATATATTTAGAATGACTCATTTTTTTTTAAATAGTTATTTGTTATTTATTAATTAACACAAATCCAAGTATCAAACGGAACTTTATTATAATTCAAAACGTATTTTTCCCCAATTACGGCAATTAGAATACATAAATAATACATCAAACAAATATTTATTTTCGGCCAATCCACAGGAAATCGGAGCGAAATGCTAACACGGTTGAATTATGTTTGCACAACACAATCGATTAATTAATAACGAATGAAATACAACACAGCACTCAGTATAACAGTTAAAATTCAACGAATAATAGGTTGTGTGTGCGCGTTTCTATTTTCAACCCTTACAGCGAGTTCAAGTGGCACGAGTGGTTAGTGTGTAAACACCACCGCATACGTGAAATCCTATTAAAACAAGTTTTGTAATAACAGTGTTCTTCTTGTAATGCAAAGTGCAAACGCAATAGAACACTGCTGCTGTGGGTTATTGATATTTACATAAGACTTACAGAGCGATACACGCATTTCCTCGTTTTCTCATATTTCGTATACCGGGAGTGTGTGGTAACGGCGTGGCTAATATAAAATATACTCAAACAGGCAGCAGCGTGTTGTTCCGAATTGAACACCTCAAGGAGCCCTTTCCACTGTACTAGTATCGTATTGGACATTATTAATCTTTACTTTTGGCGTTTTATGATTTCAGATCCGTGTCTGGTGCACTATTGTGGTCGAGGCGAAGAATGTGTAGCCGTTGGAGGCGTAGCCCGATGCATCTGCACGAGGAAATGTGGACCGGCAAAGCGCAGAGTGTGCGGTACCGATGGACAAATGTACGACAACAGATGCGAATTGCACAAAGCCGGTTGCTTGACCGGAGTTAACATTCAGATAGACCATTCATTTAGATGCTTCATACCGTCGGGTAAGTGCGACCACGAAATATTATCCGAGAAAACCATGTGTGTAACCAAGGAAGTGATGTTATTGTTAAAAATAATAAGACAAAGCTTTAGTTTGAGATAAAATAGTATTTTAAGTACACAAGAGTCTATAACACATAGGGTTCAACTATTAACGAAGCAAAAGTAGGTCAAGACAAGTGAAAATGGCGTTTATATCAAATAGGGGAAATACTATTTATTCGACCATAGTCGTTTTTTCTTCTTTTACTCGACACTAATTAATTCTATGTTCTTGTGCTTTTAGCTTCCAAAGCAAAAAATATTCGCGTATTACCGAAGATTGAAGACAACGCCGTACAATCCGAAGACAAAACTAAAGAAGTGAAAACTTGCGACTCACCTCAGTATGAAATAATGAAGGTAATTCTACTATGAATTTCATACGATATATATTTTACATAATATATTTAACACTTTAAATATATGCCAAAAGTAATTTGTAGAAGTTGCATTTACAATATATTGCAATTATATATATATATATATATATAAACCATCCATGGTGTATATATGGGTAATAATATCGAGATATTTTATTGGGAAGGTAATTAAGGGAAAATAAAATGTCCTTCGCCATTGCACGCTATTAAAAAAAAAAAAGGGCTATATAGAAAAAAAGAAAGTAAAATATTTACTGAATGGATATATGTTAATAGCGACTATCACGTTAGTTCTATTTTATTTTATTTGAAATTAAATTCGAAACCGGATGTAATTTTATACGGTATTGTAACAAATGGATCTCGGGTTGTCTGGGCGCAAGCTTAATGTTACATAAAATCTAATGACTATTGCAGCAGCAGAATGTCACAGTGGCGCCATCGCGGTGCACTGGACGGTTAGTTTTGGCAAACAAAAACGCAACCTATATAGTACAACGATAGCATGAGACCTACTATAATAATATGGCATTGTGCTGTTCGACAGTAACATATATTTGGTCACCCGAAACCGCTTCTAAAAGTTCAAAGTATGATATAAGGGCTCAAAGGAAAGTGATGAATACTTGAAATCTATATTGCTCTGCGCTCTGATCGTTCCTGGTGGAGACCACATTGCTCTCTTTCTTTCTGTTTGTTGTAGGTAACATCGTTAATTGTCACAGTAAAAAGTAATAATAGGCTGCTAATATAATTTAAACTGTCCCGATCGAGATGGTTATGGTGGCACAAACCAGAGCAGCGTTATCGCAATTTATACCCCGTGTATATATACATTTGGCGACAAAATGGCAATAGCACTAAACGTTTTATGGGCTCGTCGCTTCGGCCAATTCCGATCCATTTATTTTTATGTCCGAATTGCCGCCAATAGAGAAACGAGGAGAATTTTATTTTTCCAATAAAATACAACAATTGAAGACGTTATTCTTCACGTTATCCCGTACAACGAGGGCGAAATTCCGCCCAATATTCTGTCGCTCTTCACAAATTTTGCCATTTCTTTATATTCACTCCACAACGTGTACGAAATAGAAACGCAAAAGCAGAAGTTTTGGTTTTCATTTTTCAACCCTCGAATAGTCGTTTGTATAACGGATTGCACGTCATTTCTGTAAACATTCGAGACCCAAACAGAGAAACGATACGCAAAGGAATACGGTCTGCAATACTTTTTCCGATAATAACAGTCTATCATCCTGTCGGTCTGCTCGTAGAATATAAACGACACACTATGATATCACCGTTAATGATATTTCCACGACAATACATATAAAGCTGCGGTCGCAAGCCAATTATTTCTAATACTATTTTTGGTTTTAAAAATATTTGCCGATTGATTGATAGCCAAACGCGAGTTACCTAAACCTGAATTGCCACTAAGATTTGAATAACTGCGAGTACCAAAAGTTGTTCAGTCATTATTTAAAAAAAAAAAAAATAAATATGCCGATTTAACTTTGTCTGCTTTAATGAAAATATTTAATAAATATCTGAAAAGAATTATCAGTAATTTAATTTTTGAAATAAATTCCTACAATAATTGTTTTCCGGACAACATATATTAACCTAATATTAGTCGTAAGCGATCTTCTTTAAATTTTGGATGACTTTATCAAATAAATCATATTTATTATATTATTGTAATATTATTCGTTTATCATGAATTGTGTGTCTGTAAATTATAAATATTAGTTCATACATTTTTGTTTAAACTAATTATATTTTATTTATTGAGTTTAAAATAATTTTATTCACGTATGAAAAATGATCTATTGTTTATCGATAAGTACATTTTTTTCAAATAATATCCCGTTTTTTTAAATTGTACCTGATACTATAGCTTTCTTCATTGATCCATTTTATAAAACAAGAGGACAGCGTACTTGTCTCATCCCTTGTTCTACATTAATTATCTTCGGTCTTGATTTCTAAAAAACATACCATAAATCGAAATTTTAATTTTAAAAACTTAAATTATTATACTTATTCAATGTAAGTCAACGGTCAACCTAACCCTATTTTAGGAGACAAATCCCTTCAATGTTGTATTACTGACATTTTTTAAGTACGATGTTGGCTCTTTTACGGATAAAACGAGGTTTAAATTATTATATAGTATGCGTTCAATGTATTTTTAACAGACCAATGTTAAACGATATCGCTTATAGCAATTTATTATGTTTTTTCTTTGGGTCGCTGTATTACGCCTCGAGCACCGTTCAATCGCGAACAAAATTGTTTTTTTACCCAAGTATATTATTAAACATGCAACTACAATGATGCCAGGAAAAGGATACCTTTATAACCTAATTTTTAATAAAAACAACGTACTCGGTTAAAAATGATTATACTTTTTATTCGACAATATGATTATAGAAGTAAATAATTTAAAAATCATATAGCCTTATACTGAATGAGAGTAAAAGTAGTTAACTTATAATACTTCTCTTTTAGATAAACTACGTTTTAGTATTAATAATCATGGGTAAATGTATCAGACACATTATTGTTACCTTAAGAATTGAAACTATTTTTTCTAATACCCATGCGATGGCCTAACTTAAAAAAAAGACTAGTTTGTTTCAATTCGCTTTAGTTTTGGAAATATCGGATCGATGTAGTTTATTAATTAACAACTTTCCAACAGTTTTTTATAACATTATAAGTGCCAAATGATTAAATTAATATTACTGAATTTGCAAAAATAATGTCCTAGCAATAAGTAGTTACTTAATACCGAGGCATTATTTCTCAATTAAGAAAAAAAATAAGTAATAACATTAAAAAATCTCCATTATAATTTTTTTCATGTGTTTTTGACTTCTAATTAATGAATAATATATTTTCTTGTAACTTGCCCTCTTAACTAATGCAAGTAGCCAAGTAGTCTCGCTATTTTAATTAATATCTTTTTGGGAGGACTACTGTATTTATGCCATGAATCTGCATTCGAGTTGGGGCGAAGTTCGTGAAATCTTTAAAACGTACTGTTAAAATCTTAACAGTGTTCTTAGTTCCGACACGAAACTGCAAAGTTACTTTTTTCTTAAAAACATCACACCTTTTTCTTTATTCTCTTTTGTCCTCTTTTGTTTTTCGGTATATTCACTTGAATATACCGAAAAACAATAATGCAACTATAACGAAATGCCGGCCGCAACTCAGCTTATGTAGACTTGTGCCGAGTTTAATCTCAAACGTCACGAATAAATTGCCAGTTGTTTTGTTCGCACAATAGGGAAGTCGCCAGGTCTTAATTACACGCTTATTCGACCACCCTTAAAGATAAAGACTGTAACCCTATTTTGCGCACCTTCCGTACACCTACACACATAATATATTGTGTTGTGCATTATTAATTTCTTTTCTTTTTTCTTTTCATATTCGTTTTCGTACATCCGACGACGTGGTGTTTTGACGTTAAACGCATAAAATGGTATAATAAATGTTCCTTGTGTACAATTAAAATGGGGAGTAACCGCAGGAATTAATGCCCACGGTCAGGATTTATCGTACTTCTGCGGTGGTATCTCCCCTACCTTACTGTACGGCTATAAATTATGTTTACAAAAAGCTTCTCTCCTCCTGTTCGGCCGCTTGCCCAAACGCGACATCGCAAAGTACCCGCGGTTCACCGAGCACAGCCCTAGGGTTTACCGGGTGAAATCTTATGATAATATAAAAACCGCCAAAATGAAAACACCAAATCGCCAAAACAGGGGTAATGGTAACCGACAAGACTTTCATATTTTTTACATATATATTTTCATCTCTTCCAAAGTATCCAATTTATTCCTCGCGACGCATTGTTTACGATACAAACGTGTAACGTTAGTGGTTTCAAGTGACAGAATGAGCTACTGAACGCCCTCCAAACTATTACAATACAATATCTCATCGAATAATTCAATAATATTTGTTTTCCCACAGGACAATTTGCTATTGATCAATCACGCCAAACTTATGTACCAGAAGAGCTGGAACGGCGGAAAGGAATACATAGCCAACGCACTGTTCCGGTACTTAGACTTGGACGGTAACGGATTTTTACATCAGGACGAACTAGATAAGGTAGATAATGTGATGATATTTAAAAATAGCTTGAAACAGTGTTCAACCATAGTACAGATTTGCCCCTAACGAATCATGAAATTACTGTGACCGATAATTCGTTAATTTACCTACCTAAACTACACTCAGAACGTCGACCAAAATTCCGTTAAACGTTACCTTAGTTCTCTAATTAAAATCGTCGGTCGGCGAAGGCATTTCGGGAATTTACTTTTATGATTCAAGTATAGGCCTTTGCTTTCTAGCCTTTGCGACGGGAAATATTTAACTTATAACGAAGGGTGACATTGTAAAAAAAAAATAAGACCGGTCTTAGCATATAAGCTTTTCTTCAACGGTATAATTATTTAATAACGAGCAACCGAATCCCATATTTGGGGAATCGTGCTACAACATTTTCCAAAATCGACCGTAGCTTTTCGGACCCGTTTACAAACCAACACTATGTTCATTCATCGCTTAAAGTTCACAACAAAGCAGCTTTGTACGTCAAACTTTTACGGTAGCATTTCAGTTTAAAATCATAATCGAGCTCTATTTCGCATTTCACGTTCGTTAATTGGCCCCAAGTCCCAATCGTTTATTATATTAGGTCCGGTCGAAACCTTTCAAATCCGGTTATTATTGCATACGACTAAAATTAGTGGTCTCGGATTTCTTCTTGTTCTGAAACCGCATTGGAATCGCAGAAAGGTCGTATTAGAGCGGGCTTTATGAAAACTACGATGCCGTTCCGGTTTACCGGTCAAAGCGAAATGCAAATTCTTAGGGATTATTTATTTATTTTGCTCTAACGGTACGATATGCGGGTTGGCCTTTGAAAATGTTGATTGCGAATTGCAATACACTCATAAAACAAATATGCAGGCAATAAAGAATGGCCCGGTAAATAAGGATACAAACCCTTTGGTGTATAACCTCTGTTAAATAGGTTTAAACGGTACCTTTCGTTATACATAACAAAGCGCACGATAATTTGCAATAGCCTTTAATGCTTGTTACAATATTACGGATTCCATTTCAACGGTTGTCTAAATTAATTCACCGTTTCAGATTACCAAACAGGACAAACTCAAAGACATATCGGACGTCTGCGTCGTGTCAGACATGATCCGCTTTGAAGACTTGGACAAAGACGGACGACTTGGTTTGAACGAATTCTACGCGGCCTTCAGTAAGCTTTATAGTAAGTAGATCGACGATAGGTAGTTCCGGCTAGCCCGCTACGTGTGGTCTTGATCCATTTGATTGGTCGCCCGTACTAATAACGAACCTACTCGAAACAATAGTCACTTAATATCCATCGTGTGTGTTCAGGCCTATCCGTGGTGACTCTAGAAAAAGCGCTGGAAGTAAACAGAATATCTGCCAAAGTCGGCGACAACGTGGAAATTCGATGCGACGTCAATGGCAACCCACCACCGCCGATTGTTTGGAAACGGTACTCGGCCGACCTGACGTCACTGGGCGATGAAGACATGAGAGTGTTCAGTGATGGATCTTTGTACCTTACCAACGTGCAACTGGTTCACGCCGGAAATTACACGTGCAGAGCTCTGAGGAACTCGGAAGTAACCCAAACGCACGTCTTAACCGTACACAGTAAGGCCTTTTAGTTTTTCAGCTGACCTAACCCATTTCGATCATTCGACAATCATTTGAAATGAATTTGTTTTTTTTTGGCAGGCCCAAAATTTCTCCACCAATCGTTCTCATATTATATTAGAAATTAGAGAGTCGATTTTAGTCTATTAATCGATAATTATTGAAAATCTCTATTCGATAATCGTAATCGACCGATTATGGGTTATGAATATATAAGTTTTGTTCATAATGAAAATCAAGAATAATTGTTAAAAATCATATTCGTGCTTCAACGTTCTTAGCTTTAGCTCAAAATGTTTCTTGCTTTTGTTTAGCTCTGCCAGAAGTCAAAGTGATGCCTAAAATTCAATCGCGGAAACCGGGCGAGAGAACGTCCATGTTTTGTCACGTGATCGGAGAACCGTTCCCGGAGGTAACTTACAAGCCTGACTAATTCGTACTTCGTTGGCATTGTTCGATTCCGCGTTTGTAATAGTGTTTTGTTCATTTTTCCAGGTAGTATGGTTGAAAAACGAAGAACGTCTCAAGTTGGACTTGGTGCAAAAGTACAAAGAGATCGGTAACGGAACCGAATTAAGCATCGAAAACATAGACTACGCGGACACAGGAGCTTACATGTGCCAGGCTTCCAACACCGGTGGGGTTACCCGGGACATATCTTCGTTGATCGTCCAGGAAGTCTTGACGCCCAGTAAGTATCAGGCGCACGCCGAACTCGGTTCCTATCGGATTTCCAAAACTATAGCGCCATTGACCTTTCGACAGGCGCCCCGAAAGAGGAACGTCGGTTCTTCGCATTCCACGATTGGGGAGTGTCCGTGTACGAACCCACCGCTTGCCGACTCTACCATCAGATCCAGTCGACCGATATCATACCCGGCACTCAGGAATACGTTTGCGGTAATAAAGGCGTCAACTGCAGCTGGGGTCAGGCCATCAACGTGGCTAACCGGTACGTGTACGTGTCCCAGCCGCTCAAAGACCGCGTGCTGGTCATCAGCAAAATCCAGATGGTCGTCGTGGATGTGAGTATAGATAGCTAAATCAGAATTGGCAATAAACTCGGGGGTTACTTTTTTGACGTCCGACCCGGTTAAGTTTGTCGGGTGTGTAGGTAAACTCTATAAACCCCGTATTTTTTTGGTAAATATCAAACATTTGCCCGGGCCAAAACGAAAGACCCGCTGGGTTTCAATAAAACAATGACAATGCTATCCGTTTCCAGGTGGTGATTACTGACAAATACCCAGTGTCTCTGCATTACGTGGCTCATCTCGATCAGGTGTGGGTGTTGAACTGGAGAAGGGTGTACGACGACGGCGTGAAGACCATTCAGGTGATCCGGGACGCGTCGCAGAAGAGAAAACATCACACGGTCCATCCCGAACCCATCGACGGGCAATTCGATTTGGTGCGAAATCTGTTCATGCCTACAGCCCAGGTAACGCCGGCATGACGGTAGCGTTATGAACTAAATTATACTTTTGCTATGGTTCGCTATAACCTCTCCCCTGCGCTCTCGTGTTCAGGACTTGAATCACTGGTTTAAATACGGATACGTGAGCCACGCCAATCAACGAGGACTGTATAAACTGGATTTGGCCAACTTGCGCTACTTGAGAAGCGTCGACCTTTCGCCGTACAACTGTGTACCCCGGTCCCTTCAGTTCTCGTCTTTGTGTGAGTACATAATATTATTTTCGATTTGCCCGAGGCCGACTAACGCGTCGGTACTTAACGTGTTTTGTTCTTATTTTCGTAGACGGATTCGTTATCATAGAGTGCGAGGAATTAGGCACCGGACACGCTACCGGCCAAGTGATTTTGGACTACTTAACCGACACGGTGATCAACCAGAAACCCATGGTCAGAGGAAGCCCTTTAGTGTCGCCGGACAGTAGAATTATCGTGTCCATCGACAGAGCTCCAGACGGAGTCACGTTGGTCGTACAACAAGTAATGGGTAAGTACCATTTTGGCGGCCAGTTTCAAAACGTTTTTTAGTATACTTCAATTTTTTTTTTAGAATCCGGACTCAAATTCTCTTTTGACGTCAAAACTACGTTGACGATTAGCGATATCACGTTCTATCCATCTCGAACTACACACGGCTACGACTTGTACGCCAGTGCAGCCGACAAAGAAGATATACTGTTTTTGAACCTGTCCAACGGTAAGTAGATTGATTCATCGGGATCGCCTTTGTTGTTGAATCATAATTTGTGATAGTCGATTATACTCTCGTGTCAGTCATCTGAACGACCTCAGTGCAATCAACATGGATGAAGTTAATTTCGCAGTTATCTCTTTAGCCGTTTCCATTATTACACCTATTTTTAGTTTCGAACGTTAAATTTATTTTATTACCGCGTCTACGGGTCAAAACAATATTTAACAGCAAATTCTTTTTGAAATTTTGTTGATTATTTACTGTTGTTTTTAATCTTAATAGGGTCCTTTTTCAGTTTTATTACGGTCATATATAAACGGTTTCAAACTTTTCGAGTCCGACTTCACGTTGTGAACTTAAAAGTTTTTACATTTTACTAACTATAAAGTTCAAATGATTTCCTCGCACAAACTTAGAATGCCGAGACACGTTTAAACTATTTAAAATTTAATTAGTATTCCTTCGTTGTACATGGTATATTATTTCGTTCATTATTTTTTTTTACTAATTCTCAATCGATTCAGTACCGCCTGCGTTACTTTTTCGGATATCGAACCTCTGTCCAAGTTCGCTTATAATACTTATAAAACATTTAGAGAACCTTTTTATTTTCATTTCCAACCAATTTTTTTTATTAAATCCTAAAAATCAAATAACTATGAACGCGTACGGTTTAACGATTTTTCTTTCCCGCAAACATATTTAATATTAGCCTAGATATTAGCCATTTTTGATTATGCATACTGCGTTCAGTCGGGTACAATTTATTTTTAAGATATTTTTTCCATCGAAAACAATAGCACTGAAATATATTCCTTTTCGCTCCGCTAGAGTATAACTCTACAACTTCAACGTATTTAGCTTTAATTAAAAATATAACGAAGTTATTTTTACTAATTATTATAATACATACATATATTATCCAACTCCGATTGTGTTGTATAATGATATACTACTTGTGCCTACGTGCGGCCTATTCGAAATATGTTCATTGGTATACTGTATAATATGGTTTTTACAGGTAAAGTGGAAATGATAACCGGCGTGGGCAAGGCGATGAAGCCTTTGCTAGCCGAATGGGGCAATCCTAACCGACCGATAGCAGCTTCTGGTATTTTTGGCCACTACATGGTGACGCCGGCGGACGAGGCGCTTTTCGTGGTGAACGGGGAAACACGTACGGTCAACTGCGAAATCGGCGGTCTCGTCCATCCAAGGCTGATCACTTGGGTCACAATGCAACTACAGTAAATCCACTGTCGTTGCCACCGTCATCTGACAACATAGCTAAAAACAACCAACGCACCGAATAATAAACAAGCCGCAAAATCCGACGGTGGCCGCTATTTTTTTAACTAACGATAACATACATAAAAACGGCATGTATAATATTGTTAATCGGTTTCGGTTAGCCGATTTGAGTTTTAGTCGCTTTGTCCGTTCCCCGACTTTTCGTCTCTTCTGCCCGGTCAGTACCGCGGACTAGACGGTGCTATTATTTAACCTTGACTCTCAAAAGGACCAATGTCAGTTGAAAAAACAAGACAAAACTTTAAAAAGATTATGACAAATTTTGCAACAAAAAAAAATATTAACAGATCAACACGGAAACTCGTATAAATAGAAAACTTTGAAGCTCATTTGCCAAAAACTTTCAGAAAATGAGATTGGTCCTTTTCAGAACCAACGGCACTATAACTTTTATTAGTTATTTACTCATTATTTACTTAGGACCGTGACACGGCGCTTTTGAAAATATTTTCCAAATTTAATTCTTAAATTATGCTTGGTATATCATTTGGCAATGAAAAAAAACGCACTATTACCAAAGACTGTGCAAGTTTATTATTTTAGTTTTCTTTTGTAGCGCTTTTGAGACCTAATTGAACAACGCAAAAGGTCACTCGCCTTTTAAGTTAAACGGAACTTATCTATAGTTAATATTATGTATGTACATAAAATTAAAACTAAGGAAGTAAAAATTGTATCTTGGTGTTTTTTCTGTACTACAACTACTATTTTTAGAACTTTTTTTTTAACCTTTCCGTTAAATTAGCCCACGGCCGTCCTATACTTTATAAGATGATCTTTACCTGAATATAATACATTAATATAATTATTATTACTATACTATAATATATATATAGTGTTTGTAATTTATTGTAACATAATATTATTATTACATAATAATATAGTGATTATACTTAACAATATTAAGTAGTACATTTAACGATATATTTTTTTTTCTTTAAATTATTATTTACGATAAGAATAGGCAGAAACGCCGTCCAAACAAAAAAGTCGTTAATCGCTCGTGTACCTACCTTGATCTAATATACTTTGTGTGAATGAATAATAAAAAGAAAGAGAAAAAAAGAAACGCGTATAATTTAAAAAATAACTACAAAGACATCGTCGTTTTAGTTTTGTCGTTAAAAACGATTTTCTGATTCCGAGCCAAAATGTCGTCTCTTGTCGAGCCAACATTATTATATTTACAAAAAAACGGTGCAATTTTATAAGCCATATTTCGTTTGCTGACGACTCCGCGTTTTTTATTTCCGTGTACTTAAATATACTTAGTATTCAATAGATATATGTATACGCTTGCCAACGACATTTCATTTCAGTAGCAATAATTTTATCGTTTTTGATTTCCAAGAAAATATATTATTGCGTCAGCGCTGTTGTAAAATTATATTGTAGTAATGTTTACTGACTTGCGATGGCTTTACTTAGATGTTACTTATTCGATGTTTTATCTTATCCGCGGGGAGAAGATTGTTATACATAATATAATTTATATGGGGATGGTAAAACACAGTATTTTTCGGCTAAAAACAATAAATACATAAAGTTTTTTGCAAAATACAAAATTAATTAATTCGTTTTTTTTTAGTTAAATATTGAATATGTTATACCTTTTTATAATAATTAATTGTCAATACAAAAATGTAATTTGTATAAATTATATTAATAAATAAAAAATTACTCTTCAGTACATGTTTAATTTAAAAATTGAACACCCAAATAAAACCTAGGCAATTGTAAAGCAAAACGGACATTTCTGAAACCTTATTTAGTTAATTTAAATGCGCTTATGAATGTATACTTCAATATTTACACTTCTTTGAAAAAGGCCTATTATCTTACCAATTTTTAAGTAAAATAATTTTAATAACTTAAGTCTTTTAGACCAAAAAATATGATGATTTGAAGACAAATAAAATAAAATATAATTAACGGCTGAAAAAGAACTTCTAAAAATTAAAATAATTATAAATATGTTGTAAAAATAATATTAATAATATATTTGATGTACAAGTACTATATTTTGCAACTAAATACGAAATACAGAAAAGTATATCAATTGCGTATTTTTAAATACTTCAATTAATGCCCATACTTGAATATACATAATATACATATGTAGGGTTTATCTGCTTTTAAACAACGATTTCGGGCGCATACGAATTGCATCCATTTTTTATCATAACATTTAGGGTCATAAATTGCTAATAGCCTCCCATACCAGGTATTCAATAATTTCCATTCTGGTTGCCTTGCAAAGGTATCTGAATTCCCTCCCAACGATCCCTTTTAAGCCAGAAATATGGTATAAGGTATAATACACTTTTTTTATATAGTTTTACATATTCACTTGCAATTATGATCTAACATACTTTTTACGGTTTTATCATCGCTGCTTACCTTAGAGAATCCTCTACACGCAAACTAAATTTGTAGCCTTTTAAAATAAAATAAAAATGTGAAAAAGGAAATATGAAAAAAAAACCGTTTGTTTTGTTCCTTTTTCATTTAGCATTTCTCAAATTACTACTGCTCTATTATAAAATTGCACGAATTAAATACAAAATTAAAATAATTTACCATGCAATCAGATTTTCTCAAAAAGCAATTAAAAATGATTTATTACCTAACGCGGGAGGGCACTAGTACTTTTTGACCTAAAGCGTTACGATAAGACATAAAGGTCACCAGAGGCAATTTGAGTAGTATTTCAAAGGCAAATAGTATATTATTTTGACGACTACCTAGAGATATGGGAAAAAATAGTATGCTCCGAATATTTCATCTCTCTCACTCACTCTCTTTCCCTCGATAAGTTTCACATGTTACAAGCAAACAAACAATAGTACACTAATTTTAATAATATATTATTTATTTATAAATCATCATTTGTATATGTGTCACGCGAACTGTTAAATTTGGTTATTAAAACTGTCATAAGCGTATCTAAAATGTATTCACAAGTCCGTAGCAGTAATTTGTAAATAAACAGAAAACGCAAAATAATGTCTGTCGTAATGTATTGTTTATATTATATAACTTTAGATTATTATACTATGATTATTATAATTATTAAAAATATATAATATATTATAGACAAAATTAAATGTGTGCCGTGTAAAAACGAAATTTTTTTTTTATAAATATAGTGTGGGCTTATTTTTTATTCAATATTATATATTATATACTTACCATAATATAAATAGTGTAATGACATTTATTATTGAATAAATGAAAACGAGTCATGCTATTCAATATTACATTTGTTTTCAATAAAACCTTGTAATTTTTAGTACAGATGGTAATTAGTTTATATGTATAATGTATTTCAAATTAAACCAGACACATTTGCTACATAGTCAAAGACGAACCAGCGCGGCGGTCTAGCCAAGACTATAATTTTTAATTTTACAAAACTCACAAAGAACAGCAACAACCTGCGTTTTTACAGGTTTTTTTAGTATGGGTTTGCACCACCGTTGATTCAAGGTCTAAACTAAACAGCAATTTGTAACAACAACTTATGTATCTTATTATATAACAAGAAAAAGTCAAATTAGGTATACAAGCCTAAAGTCTATAATAGTAGATTGTTTTCTTTTTTTATGAAACTTAAAAAGTATAATATCGTTACTAAACAATAACTCTTGTTTACTATGGACAAAGCATACAGAAATATTTATAAGGTATTTTTTTTTTTTTTATGTAAAAAATATTTGTACATACTTTACAAGTCAAATTTTTTGTTTTAAGTATAATTTTAGAAGGTAGCTTTTAAATGACAAATAACCATTTCGCTATTAAATTTACCAGTTAGTAACAATTATTATAATGAAAATAATAACTAATCGATGGCTGTTTTTGGTTGAATTAATACTTTTTTCCATTTATTAGCGTTTAATAGTAAAGGGGAAAGGTGTTGAACTTTTTTGTGCGCATTTAACTTCTAAATTTGACTTTAAATACCAATAACTTAAAAGTAATTATTTTTATTAAATAATAAAAAAATAAAATATTTTTAAAAACCCTTCATCAAAACAATTAAGCGTACAATAATTAATAATATATAACCGTATTAATTTCAGTAGCAATGCTATCATCATTAGCGCTCACAGCAGACTGAGCCTTAGCTGATAAGATAAAAAAAGAAATGATGCTTTAGCTAAACAAAATAACGATGTAATTTTCATTGTATTATCTATATTACACAAATACAATAGGCAGTTTTTATTTAACAAAGAAGGAATTCATAAAAGTATATTATATATAATAATATGCAATATATATTACAGTATAATTGCATGAGGAAAAAATAATACAGTTAACCGATTTTTTACATAGTATTTAATATTATATAATCTATAACCGTATACGGTATAATGTCCGACGGCGACAGATATGTATTTTACACGTGTCCCTCCGTATAATGTGGACGGGAAATAAAAGTTAAAAACAACTAGTTGCTGTAATACACCTAGCAAAAAAGAAATGGACACCAAAGAAAAAATGTTTATTAAATGGACAAGGGTCTATCTGGGACTCCACTGCCCAGAGATCGTTTGGTAAACATTTGATTGTGAATATATTATAATTATTTTAGAAAAATTGGTAGAATTTCGCCATCGTCGCCAAAACTGGTCACCTGACACGACCGGAAGGCGAACGTAAGTGTGACCTAATATATCCGGTCCGGTAGTCGATTTCCACCTTTGGCGGATTCGGTAGTAGTCCTCGGTTTTTCCGGCTCCACCTGTGGCCCAAAACAATAAAATATTATATATCGTTTGAAAATCACAGCCCTTATATTATTATGTTCCGACTATGATATCACTAAACGCAACCGTAAATCAGCTATAAAAATACAACATTATCGTTTGCACTCGCATATCAATATTATGGTACGTTAACGTTAAAATGTGATCAAACAATATCTCATTATGCTTATATTGTTACATCACCAAAAACCACATGCAAGTATATTTACCATTTCTAAAAAAAAAAAAATCGCCATGCAATGTATATTATATACAGTATACACATATACATACGTGTGTGTTACAATATATATAAAAGTACAAATCATATTTATACTCATTTTAGATAAAATTTGTAATATGTATCTAAATTTAAAATATTTTCTGAAAAAGTTTTTAAATAGCAGAATGAGAAAAACGATGAGCACAAATAATACTCATTTTTCGAATTCCCATGATTCTCTCGTTCAGTATCTATTGTTTTCATAGAATTTTTTTTATACTATATATCTATTTAGACATTTGTTCATTAATATTTTTTATATTAAGCATTTGTCAAAATTAAAAAATAGTAGCGTCTAATGTGTTTTTGTAAATCTTAATTTGAAAATCCCGTCCGTAAGGTTATTTATTATTGAGTACTCTGTCGAAGTATGATTAAAAAAAAAAAAGAAATCGGTTAAACCCAACAGCTTGATAGAAATCGAGTAGTATACAGTGCAATAATACAATATTTGCACTTGCACACACATTCACATTCACAAAAAAACAAAATGCAAACAATTTTTATACTAATATATTGTATAAAACACTAATTTTGTTTACAACCACTCTGTTGGGAGACCATTTCTTTCTTAAACGTATGTATATGTTTAATATATTATGTATATAATACATCATATCCTACTACTGTACATATTTAATATATAGCATTTATCGCAAGACCTTTCCCCAAGCTACACAATTCACGTGTTATTATTTTTACTATGATTATTATTTAGATATTTATATATTATTGCTCCACTCTTTCAACAAATTTTCACAACAAAAATTCATGCTTTTTTCACGCTTCACTCACCTAGCGCTATGACTCAGTAGTACTAGATTCCTGAAAATAATAATTGAAACAAAAAAAACATTATAGGTGAGTGTGTCGTCCGGGAGTTTTTTTTTTTTGCTTAAGTTTGTATTTTCCGAATCACTCGCAATTTACAATACCCTTTAAAAAATTGCACAGAACGAAAAACGATTGTAAACGATTACATTAATTATTATAATATAATATAATTGACAAAAATCAATTTATTGGCCGTCGAAAATTTGTTTTAAATATAAATTTTGAACAATCAAATAATTGTTAGGTTGGTATAAAATATAGTAACTAATGTTATTGTAACTCTACAGTGTCGAATCATTTAAATTTTTCGTATAAGCCAACAACGAACATTTAATTTTGTAATAAACAATTGAATAGCTACAAAATGTGTGGTAAAATATATACTCATTCAACTTGAGAAACACAGTCGGTGACAATAAGAAAAACACGGATCGCGTTGTCCATTAGCGTGGCCGCCGACTGTTTCTTAATATCTTAAATAGAGTACAGAAATGTATCTATGAATTTACATAATATGTACTATCTAGATTTAAGCGTAATTTTTATATTATTATGTGGACGTGATTTAACAAATAATAATTCGTTTGGTCATAATAATATATTAATATACAAACTTTTGGTTGTTCGACCAAAATTAGATTACCTACAGTGGAGGGATTTCTTTAAAGATTTTTCGTTCTGTGATATGTATACACAATTTACCTGAATATGCGGAAAATGTATTCCGGCCAGTCGTTAGGGAACATGACCAATAGGAATCCGATCGATATCAATATGATTCCCGCCAGTTTCATACCGTAAAACTGTAGGTCGTGCATTGTTATGTCAATGGCTGTAAATCGTAACCATCGAGTGTACGTTTTAATAAATCGTAATGGTCGATATAAAAAAAAAACTCTATCGAGTCAATTGACATGATCACGCATTAGTTATTTCATACCTGCAGATACTGGCACGGCGGCGATGATACCAAACGTGATGAATACTTCATAAGTAAACGCTATGCTCAAATTGCCCAACAGGTTGGCCACTGCGGACAACACGAAAACACCTCGTAATGGAAACGCGTTTTACTAAATTACCGTTGTTGTAATTGAACGATTGTAGTTACCTAATGACAGCGTGCTGGCCGATAAAAGTATGAACCAGGGCAACCGGTCCCAGTGGAGTATTTCGATCTCGGAGAAGTACAACACCAGACAAACGGGCCACAAGAGCGCGGCGTTCAGCAGACCTATTAGCGAGAAGAACAGTGACACTTGTCCGTAAGTAGCGTCGCCAATCATTTTTTTGAACATTACCTTTGGAACAAAAGCAAGAGATTACAAGAGCGTTAAACGAATTTTCGTCATACGGTCAGTTCATAATATAGGTTAGCATGTCAAACGTTGCATTGCTAGAACGAAAAGCTGTCACATGTTTGAAGTTCAACAGGGGTACATGTAATATCTCGGGAACCAAATAACGAGCCAATTTAGGACTACCTGACGATTGGCGGATGCGAAATTTCGGCTAATGTACCGGCGAGACGTCGACTGAATTGTTTCGGAACGTACAAGACCGAGCTCAATGGTGTTCATAAACTTTTAATTGTAAATGCGGTACACTCACTTTATATACGGCCGAACCGGCAGCCGCCGTTGCGGCTAACATGACCCCCGTCAAGGTTTTCTTTTTGTGCACTATTCCGGCGTCCATGTAAGCCAACAATGCGATGCCCGTGTTGCACAGTATCACAGCTACGATCTGGAAACCAGCAAAAAAAACCATAATTCTCAATGCCGAGCATAGTGCGCAGGTGTCGCAAGTGCATATTTTCGGCAATTGAGTTGTGTACAGCAATACACATGAAATCCGTGCACTATTGCATCCGCAGAGTTCATTGGAGATAACTTACCCGGACCCCGACAAACTGATCGTGGAGAATGACCCACGACAACAGGTACACGCAGCACACGTTGGTGGCGAACAGTGCTAACGCGTCGGTTGCCACGAGTATGCTGAGCGCGTGTATGTACAGATAATTGGTAAACACCCAGAGCATGCAAAACAACCAGCACCTGGTCAAGAAGTGTGCAGCGGTGAAACCGCGATCACGGAAATTCCTTACGCTCTCCCCTAGGATGTCGGTGGGCGACTGGTGATTGGGACTGCCCAGCTGGCACAAAAAGTATAGCGGAAAGAACAGCACTGTCCAGTTGGTGCAAAACCACGTGGTGAAGAAAGGCGCGTTGTACGTCATCAACTGTGAAAAAGTAATTAAAAATTTACAATTATTTCCATTTTGAACAGCTGCGCAAGACTTTGGCTCTCCAAAAAGGTATTCTACTACACGACGGGAAATACCGTTGACGATGACGTTCTTTACTGAACTGTCGATATTAGCCCAGACTGATTCAATATATTCGTTGACGAAATAGTCGAACGGGCAATTTAAAGGCTCGTAAACTTATTATTGGTGCAAACTGTACCTGTTCTGAGTTTCGGGGTAAAGCAGAAAATGTCAGCTTGGACAAATGTCCATAATTCGAGCAAACGTGACATAGTTGTTTTTTCTAGATAAACTTGTAATAACGTTAACTGTTCTTCTATCACGCGAACCTTTACACCACATAACATGGCTTTAATATTGATAGTTTTTCTGATTTGCTGACCTTCGAGTTTACACTTTGATTAAACAGCCGTTACCGTCTATTTCCGGAGCTTTGCAAATCGCTTATAGGAATGCGAATACAACGCTATTTTCTGCTAACCAACCGAACCACTCAACCCCCAAATAAAAATTCACTACCAATGCGCTTTTTTCGTTTACCGTTTGCTGGTGAATCGACGAGAAGTTGAATCCTGAACCGCTGAGCACAGGGTACTTGGTCGGATGGTACATGTACAGATACTTGATGGCGTGCGTGGCTCCCGCCCAAGAGAAGGTCACGCAAACCATCACGAACATTCCATAGTACACCTGCGGGTATAGCAAAGTGTGAATGACAGTTAGAAATTTAATACAGCTAACAAACACCATTTAAAACCAACCTTTTTCGCCGACTGCGAACAACATGTGGTTTTAATCCTCTTAAACACGCCTACTTGTCGCCGCTGACACTGCTCGATTTGTTCGACGTCTTCTTGCTGGCATACTAAACGGGAAAAACAAAACAAATACTTAAAATTATTTCCATTGTTAGTTAAAAAAAAAAAATATATAAAACGACGGTAGTCGCAAACGTTACGGGATTCGCTCCGGGACAGGACATGGGAGAACGGACCGATGGTCCGATGGTCCGAGGTTAATACGGCATTGCTTTGCGACAGTCTGGGCTTCCGAGGGTTGAATATAGTCGGTACATCGTTCTCGACCTTCATCACAAGGTAGTCTACACAATAAAGAGAAAATCATTAAACAAAATTATAATATTAAAAACTACAACGTTCGTGGTAATGCACGTGCAATGAGACTTCCGTGTAAGGTTTCTTAGCAAAACGGCTTATGGCATATGTTTTATTTTAAAATATCAAAAAACCCGTTGTTGACATTGTCTACACAAACCAAAAATAGCATGCGACTTATGACTTGTTTCTTTCATACATTTTTTTTTTTTTTCAATTATAGCCAATAAAAAAATTACTTATTCGCTCGGCAGATTGTTCAGAGCGATGCGTTATTTAAGTACGGTTTTGACGACCAATTGCCACACTTGAAACGTAATTAACAGGTAAAGCTTACAAGGCGATTAAGTAGTAGTTAAACTTGCGAAAACATTAAAATCGTTTTTTTTTTTAATTTTAAGCTACCTTTAGTCCGCTTACTAAAGTGGGCGATGCTGATTTCAACAGATCCCGTCATTTCTCTAAAACAGTAAACTTTACATTGTAGGTATATATAATAGTTATATATACGGTAAACTTGTTTCTATATTTGAGTTGTAACGCATACAAATTTAGCGCATACGGTCTTGCTCATCACAAATTCTTTAAATGTTGTCTATGTTTCAGTATTACCAAAATTTACTTGTCAACAAAAGTTCCTATATATATATATCGAATAATATATATATATATATATATACTTACAGTCTATCCATAAAAAATCGTACAGTGAAATTATTAAAGTACCAAAATGTTAAAAATTTTACACCTCCTCTTCAATATCAGGAAAACCCCATTTATTTCCAATAATTTATTATTATTATATCAATAATATACTATATTTATATTTTTTTACTATACCATTTACTGTTAGCATTGAAACGTTTTTATGGTAAATTTAGCTCTTTTAGTAATAATTTCTAATAGCTCATAACTTTCCCAAATTACATTATGCTTGTTTTTTTTAGTAAATATTATACATATTTTAAAAATCACTTTAAATCGCAATTAAATAATGATAACAGAATGTTGAATTTAAATGTTTTATCATCAAAAAAAAAATTTTAAATAATTTTTATAACACTTTTTTATTGGAAAACCCTAATCCACATTTATTACCACTCATAATGAGCACACGTGACCCGCAACCGTAGTCAAGTCAATCATTATCAACTTTATCGTTGCCTTACTCTATCATTTTTTCCTTTCATACTCAGCCTCAATAAGATTATTTATAAAAATAAAGCCAAATTTTAAATTAAGCTAGAAAAGCTTATTTTTCCAATTGTATACTAAAATAAAAAATGAAAATTAATTTCAACATAATGTTTATATACTCGTTCCTATATCATTTTGATGAACTGAAGTTAATAAACTATTGTGATTACTCGAACATTTAATTATTCAGGCCGTTGATCAAATCGTCTCTAGTTTGCTATTTTAGCCCCTAATTTACTAGGTAATATGTTGTATGTTATATTTATATTAGTTATTGTTATTCATTGATGTCCAACTTGTTAGACTACAAACAGCAATATCTGTTGATCATCCATCATCGTGTATTTGCTTTAACATTACAAACAGCTGTTTACACTTATAGATTATTTTAAAGATTTCTTTAGACTTTATTTACAAATAAACCATAAATATTACGTTCATAAAATGTAAAACTACATCGAATGCTAATAAAAAAAAACAATTTTAATAAATAAATAAACAAAAACGCTTATATTTCAAAACTAGACAGTCGCGTACTTATTAATGAATGAAAAGTTGGCACGAGGCTGCGTGCTAAGGGGGAGAAGGCAAGTGTCTTAAATCGGCAACATCAAAATAAATCATGGGCCATCTCTTCATATTAACTAGAGAAAATTAAGTAGAAAAATTTAGTTCTATAGGGGCGGCAAAAAGCGATTGTCTAAAGGGTGCTTTAGACAATGTGTGTTATATAATAGTTAATGCACACCACTGTATAGGTGTAATTAGTATTATACCTCTATAAATTATAAACTCACAGTATTTTATTTTGTAATCCGTATAAAATATTTCTACAAGTGGTGCAATCATTCATTGAAAAATCAAAATATATTAAATCCGTACATTCTATTAGACACTTAAAAATAAATATAAAATACAAATTTTAGATGAATTTTTTTAGTTAGAACGATTTATCGGGCAACTCGTTAAACGTTGTTTTAGAAATTTGCAAGTTCCTCGGGTGTGTAGGCCATTTGAAAATAAAGAATTGACTAAACAATTTAACGTTTTGTTAAACATTATGTCGTCGTATATGTAAACTGTGTATAATTATTATATGCAAAATGAAAAAAGAAATGATGATCAAATTAGAAATAGATAGGGGGGAAATGATAGAAAGACAGAATTATACCTTCTCCTCTCTTTCTATGGTTTTGATGGTCTATACATAGTTGCTTAATAATCATTATCGTCGATTAACGTGAATATTTTATGTACAGAAGTTAAAATTAAATGAGTATCAAATTGTTGGTTATTAAAAATAATATGTTTCCTGAATAATGTAGATTATTACCCTCGTCCTCCCATTTTTTAATATCCATATTTTGGTCTACGGGCTATCATCATCAAAGTTAGGTAAGTAAAAAATCTGAATACATAAATTAAACGAAACCAATTACTTTGTTTACAAGTGAAACACACTAACTTAAACATTCGAGTTTCTAAGTTTTTCTTGACGTCATTTTAGTACTCTTTTTGACATAATGATTTTTAAGTCGATTTTCGGATCCCTTTTCCCTCTCATTTAGCACAAAAACAGCTGCTTTGGCATTTTTCGCTTGTGAAAGCTATGACATTAGAAAATTAAAATTTGTTCTTAATTGCTCTGTCATAACGATTCAAATCCGAGTCTGTTGTCTGTAACTTTATTTTCAGCAGTTCTTTTTTTTTAAATGAATATTTTTAAATTAGCCTTCTTTCTCACTTTTATGTTTTTTTTTTTTAATATTCTATGCGACCATTGCGGTATGATCGGATCCTGCAGTCATACCGTATGGTGGTGTGCGCGCTAAAAGTGAAATTCGTACCTACGCTTTAAGGACAAAACGTAAATATCTTACCGTCAGACTTTTCGGCGGATATCCGTGTTGCCGTCCATCACCTAATAATGCCGTGACAGTGAACTTGAAGTGAAACCCCGTACCTTTTCTCGGACGACTGTTTGGTGGAAACCCGTTCAAGTGCAAACGCAATAAGGATTTAGTATTTTTCCAACAAGAACAACTTTTACAATATTATCGACATAATAACAATTATTTCGTTCGGCCGGGCAATTTTTCATTCAGCTAAATCGTCATGATCATGGGGGAAAAACCCGTATATTACTACACCACCGCCGTGACCCGGTAACCCTGTTGTTGGCTCAGCAGCGGTGGCGGCGGCAGCGGCAGCGGCTGTGGAGTTCAACTCGAACCCGCGTCGGCGAGCTCACTGTGGTGCCACCAGAGGATACGAGCACGCAGCGTTCTGCGCTATAGCTAGTGCTACTGCTGGCATGCGACCGCAATTGATTTTCTCCCGGCACCGTCGCCTGCAGGGCCAGTCGGTGGCGCGCGCCCACCGACCTCTAGTGGCATTTATATTGGCTCTGTCGTCACAGGCACCGTCGCCTACAAAACGCGCGCTGCCCCCTCGGGCGCTTTGGCACAGCTTTGAACTTGCCGCTTGTAGATGATAAACGGATAAAGTTCAAATCTGTTTAATTGCCCCTGTGTAACAACACCCCCCCCCCCACCCCTGTGCCAATTTCCTCTTGTGCCTGACAAAATCACTCCAAGCGTATACGGTTAATTATTATAACGGCACTAATAGCTCCGAACCGATGCGAGTGGTTAAACCGTATAATTATTGATCATTCGCACGACCATATTATTTAATCGATCAATTTTTATCGGAGTCAAATAATACATTTTTATTATTATTATTTAAATGTTCAACATTTCTTTAGCTTTTAATTACTCTTAAGCCTACAGAAAATACGTTAAATGTGTAATTGGGCCATTGGGGAAGCTAAGCCCACCACAGTACACAGTTACTCCTATGGAACACGCTATAAATATAAAATATTTCCTAAACATATAGTTTTTCTAACTATGATTTTTTTTTGTCAATGTTACATATTACCTAGGTATACTTAGAAATTTTGTGGGAGTACTGAGACCGTTAAGATCAATAGAGATATACGAAACATGACTATACATAATAGCTTAAAATATGTACACGGTTCCGCCGGGGGATAGTAGTAAATAAATAATTATCTAACATGGTTTGTTGTAGGTGCACTGCCAACCCCTGGTTTTGGGGTCAAGGCCAATGTTTTTGCACGTCTATTTGTCTTTTTATACGTTTACCGTACGAAAAAAAAACAAAAATATTATTATTATGTTTTAACTTTTCTCTATTATTATTTCTTATACAAGCCATGTAATTAGAAAAACTTTGTATTCCTTTTTTATATTGACCTTTAAATTACATAAGCGATCAGCTTCTAAGTTAATTTTTATTTATTTACTTGATAGGTACAGATATACTGTATAATATACGGTATATCTATTATGTTTAAAAAATAACGGTTTATTATTATTACAAAAAAAAAGTTTCATTAACATTTAAAATAGGTATGCAAACTCATGAGTTGTGTTTAGCATTATAAATTATAATGTTTTTAATATTAAAAAAAAAATATATTTTATTTTTTTTTTATTCATTTATTTTATGTAAGAACTATGTTATTCGACATGAACAAATATTTTTATTATTTTCTTACAATCAAACGCGTTACAATTATTCGATTTAAAATATAATTTTACTGGCAGGAACGTGAAACTAGGACTACGACTTAAAATAAGCTTAACCTTGGCGATAAAACAATCGTGCGTTTGTAATATTTGTACACTTTATAATTTGTTTTTGATATATATATATATATATATATTTCTATAAGCATCAAAACATTTGCCAATGGCCTAAAACATTTAAAGAATTTATGTATAAGCATTGTTTTTTTTATTTGCTTATTTTTGTTCTACGAAAAATATGATATTAGTATACTACGAAAAAACAATACGTAATATACTATACTATATTTGTTTTAGTTGTTTCCTTATAGGATATTATATTTTATTTTATTTATGTGGGGGAGCTTTCGCTAACTAATGTTGGAGAATTAGATCCATTTTATTTTGAGCAGCACTTCATAGGTATACGCGTTCAAAAAAGTATTAAATTATTAACTAATATAATTTATTTATTATCAGAAATATATTGAAATCTTATCTATGGATTTATAACGGAAACTATAAAATTCGGATTTGTAACGAAATCTTCAAGATTTGGATTTAAAAAAAAAATCCGTAATCCGGATTTAAATTTTATAACTCCGGCTTAATAATATATTATATTATATTATATATATGTAGGTCACTCGGCAATTTTAGGTATGCTGTGTACGGCTCTTGTAAAATAATTGTTTATTCAATTCAAACTAACATCATTTTCAAGAAGATAGTTTCTCACGACACTAAGCTCTATAGTGTTGCTTACTGTTACCTCCGTACTAAAATCTGTAAAGAAAAAAAATTGTTCACAAATTTTAGTAGTTTTTTAGTACTTATGAATTTCAGCATTTTGGTATAGACTATCTAAAATTATCAAAAAAATTGGTATCGATTTTTATTTAAAAAAAAAATCTACCAACACGACAAGGCTGATTTTTTTGTAACCGTTCATTTGTTAAATATGTTTGTGAACAGTATATATGGTCGACCTGTCGTGTTACATAGATTTTTTTATATATAGACAAGGGAAACGTGAAATTATAGCAGCACGCGTAGGTATTGTATTATTCATCATCATCATCATCATCAACAACGCGTGTATATATATATATATATATATATATATATATATACACTGATTATTATTATTATTATTATTATTATTGTTATCAATGGCCTCACGGCACTCACGTTCCCTATGACGGCAAGGAATATTTAAAGTTCTATTTATTATTGAATTTGTCGCGCAACGATCACACGGTAGAAGTCAAAACAATAATTCTATATTATTATACATTTTACTCCATCTAGCGGTTTACGAAATTGTCAACGATATCTCTATGGGATAATACCTAACCTTATTTCGCTATCCACAAAATATTCTTTAGGTCCCCTGGTCTAGTCTCCACAATTATTACACTCCTCAACTCAAGTCACTAAAACTGCATCATACGAACAAATAAACGCAAACCGTTTAATACACTAATATGTTATTCTCATATAATATTATTATTATCGACTAAAACTATTTTTTTTTTCGACTTGCATAAAAGTATGGATACCAATAATAATTGTACCACAATTACAACTAAATTGTGTTCAGTATTAACTTGCTGACAACCCCTAAATGCCAACGTGTGATAGTGAAAAACGTCGTGGCCGAATCGGACATAATATTTGCCATTTGGCGCACCACATACATTTTGATACTAGCAGACGGAGCATCCGGATGGGACGCGGGCGGGTGATACGAGCACGGCTATCGTCGTATTTGGTTATATTATATATATAGGTATATACCTTAATAAATATAGATATATTACCAAGCTGTGAACTCGAATGCACATGAGCACATGACCTCACGTGACGTCATCCAGTCCCGCCGACAGCGCAGTCACGTCGGCTCGCTGGAACTACAACTACATGAATGCTCCGTCTAGACGTGGTATAAGGTCTACACGATGCATTGGCGAGACAAATTCGTGATACGGGTTCGATGATAACAAAAAATAAATTCGGCTCAAATTAAAAAAAAAAGTAATAATAATAATTAGGTGTAAAATAGAAATAGGGCTTCGCGTGATTAGGCCCTCCGGCGACGTTCAAGTGTAAAGTTTAACGTTTATATCATGATTTAACAGCGACAGAATTATTAACAATCATGTCGGTTATGAATAGAATCCGTAAAAACGTACCACACATTAAACGCAACGTCGAACTCCTGTTCAACAACACCGGTCAGTGTGTCAAAGTCATATCGTGCACGTTGTGCATATGCTATTTTTTTTCGTTTTTCGAAAAGAGCAAAGTGATATTCGGTGTCACGCCCGGCTACGTGTTTCCGCCGTCGTTTTGGTTATGGACACCGTTCACGTTCTGTTTCTTCGAGTCGCACCTTTGGCAAGTGTTACTAGACATTGCCGTTGTAGCCGTATGTGGTAAACTCATTGAACCGCTTTGGGGTGAGCTGCAGCTGCTCGTATTCTTTGCCATCGTCAATATAGGAGTCGGCCTGTCGTGCGCAGTATTCTATTACATACTCTACATATTCTACACGTCCACACTTCTACTGTTTGAAGTACACATACACGGCCTGGCCGGATACTTGGCTGGCGTTACAGTTGCGGTCAAACAAATAATGCCCGACAGTCCAGTCCTAGACACACCTGTTGGCCGTATAACCAATCGCAATATGCCGTTGTACTCGGTGTTCATATCGTTAGTTCTTTGGATCGTTGGGTTAGTTGATGGCACCAAACCTACTATGGTAATCAGTGGCGTGTTGACTAGTTGGACTTATTTAAGGTTCTATCAAAGACACTCAAACGGGACAAGGGGTGATATGGCAGATAATTTCTCATTTGCAAAGTAATTAATTAAAAATAGAAAATTAAACATTAAAAACGTATTAATTCATTTTTTTTTTCCAGTTTTTTTCCAGTTGTTGTTCAACCACCTATTTCTGTTTTGTCAAATTCAATATACGGTATGCTAGTAAAAGCTGGTATATGCAGAAAGACTGTACGGAGAGTCGATATAGCTAGTGCACCCACTGGTATTACAGTCGTGCTACCTGGTATAAGATCTCATGATATGGATAGAAGAAAGTAAGTGCATTTAGTATTTATATAGTTGAAGTCACTAGCTTATCCATTTACTATTATTTTAACTAAGAGTAAATTGTAACTTTTAGCAAGTAGCCTTTATTATAAGTTTTAAGTATATTTATGTTTTGTATAATATGAAACATTAAGTTTAATACTGTAATAGTTGGATGCCATTTATAGTTTGCATTTTCTCCCCTTGCTTACAGGGAAGAAAAATGTCAAAAGTTAGTAAATTCAATAATCATACATACATTTTTTAATTTAACTAAAATGACTTCTGAAACTGCTTCGAGAATATTTTTAGTTAATATTTTATCACAATTGGCTCAGTAGGAAGTGGTAACCAACAAGCTTATATTCATTACAACTGACTGTACATATTGTTTTCTATCCTTTCCATTTGAGCAAAAATCGTTTTAAATAATACACAACATATTATGCAAAATTATAACTCAAAATGTTAAAATGCAATATGGAAAACGCTGTTGAAAATTGATTTTATATATTCTCTTTATATATGCTCTTTACAAATACTAGCAAGTTTCACAACTGAAACTTAGTTTTCATATGAAGCATAATATTCTTTGACAATATATACAATACATTATCGATATTTCTAATAACATATTTTTTATTTAAAATTGTATAAATTATCAAGTTTTAAATGTTGACAGTTTATTAATAAATATTTTATTTATGTTGCAGATTGTTAGCGTTAAAAGCCCTTAATAATCGATTAGTAGATAATACCAAAGAAGCAGCTAAGCCTAATAACGTGGATGCTGAAAAAAAAGATTCTGTAGTTATATCTATTGGCGATAATGAACTTGCAGCACAAACGTCATTATTAAACAATTCAATGGCTCCAAATAAAATGACGTAGAACAATAACTTTTCCATCAACAACAACTAATCCAAAGAATTATCCGTCGCCTTATTAATTTACAATATAATATGCAACACATACACATAAACTTGACTTAATTGTAATGTGTATAAATATATATATTGTAAATATTAAACATGTTTATATTGTACATAGGTAAATATTTGGTAATTTAATCATTTGTAACTAAATTTTATTTATATATGTTATAAAACCTATTCCTTTAAAAGGTTTTAATATAGTTATTTTTAAACTGAAATTTGTAACGTAATATTTTTGAAATTATAATATAATCTAAGCCTGTGATAATAAATAATAATGATGGTTTTTTATTTAATTTAATATAATATAGACAGGGTATACAATACCTATACTATTTAATTATCTTCAATGAGGTTAAAGGTTACAGAATCCTTTTATTCAACTAAATGTTGATAATGTAGAATTAAAATCTAATCAGTTCAGTTAATGTTGTGGTACATCATGACTAAAGTAAGTTTAATTTTTTAATTTACATCATTTTAAACAATGAAACGTGTATATTTTTTAAATTTAGAGTAAGATGTTAAACCTACGGTATAATGAAATTTCAAAAGCGTGGGATGGTACAGAAAATGTCGAAGAAAAATGTATGCCCATATACAGAGAAGACCTAGTTTTATCGTGGAAACAATTAAATGTAACTGCTGTGAAAAAAATACCCAGATTACTCGGACCTAGTAAAGTTGCTTATAAAAAAATACTAAACAATGGTTAGTAAAGTTTTAAGTTATTCTTTCATTCATGTACATTTCATAAAAATAGTAATGGCAGAAACATCTTTCTTTTATTCATAATGCATAATCAACCTATATACGTTTTCTATATTCCTAAAATCAGTGGAATATTCTATTAAAATAAAAAAATAAAATAATTCACTACGTGTAAGGCATTTTTTACCCTTGTAAATTTTAAGATAACCAGGGCCAATGAACTTTATACGTCTATGTTGTACATATATACATTAAATAATCTAGATAGTGACTAATATTATACAGAGATAGACAATATTCAATAAAATTTTAGCTCATAATTATCCAGAATACAAAATTATTTATGTGTTTTATTTATGAATAATTATTTTTAATTGTAAATAATAATTTACATACTTTATTCATGAATAAAAAATTATATATTATTTGAATAATTTGTTCACGACTCTGCTAATGAGTATATGAATTTTAATTGATTGCTAAAATATTTTATTTCAATATCATTGTAGTTTTTAAGAGAAACATTATTTTATATTAACAAAAAAGGAAAAGTAAAGAAAATAAATAAACTACAACCAATAAGTACACTCCTTATTTGTAGTCAATAGAACAGTCATTTATTTATTTAAATCATTCCCTTAATCTCAGGGCCGGCTTTAGCTCTTTCAGCGCCCAGAGCAATATGTTGTGTTTACAATTTTTCTACCTAGCACTCAGCGTGACACCTCTCGCGTCTCGCCAGCCCTGCTTAATCTGTATACTAAAATGTTAGAGAATAATTGTTCATTTGAGAATTATCTTAAATTACCTAATAATTATAAAATAATTATTTATTAAGAATAGAAAAAAAAAGTTTTTTGAATGTAAATTAATTATTTTTATTATTTATTTGTTTGTATAATTCATTTGATAATTTTGTTCTTAGTAAGTGGCAATGTAGAATGCGGTACGCTGTTAGGAATTATGGGACCAAGGTATAACTATACTATACAGACAATTTTGATTCAATATTTAACTAAGTACATTTTTTTTAGCGGTTCTGGGAAGACAACTTTAATGTCAACAATAAGTCATCGAACTAAAGGTATTAAATTACTCAACAATTGATTTACCTAAAAAAACTTTTTAACAACTTGTATGTTATTTAGGTAATTTTGACGGTGAACTTTTTCTAAATGGACGACCTGTATCTGAGAAAATTATGATAAAAATATCTGGATTTGTGGCCCAAGAAGACATTAGCTTTGATCAATTGACCACATTGGAACAATTAAATTTAATGGTATTAAAATGTCTTAAAATATAATTCGTACGTTTTACTTTAGGAACACATTGTTTTAGGCCAAATTTAAAATGGATCGTTACGTCAGCAAAAAAATGTTACAAGATCGTATTAACTACCTTGTAGTTCATTTGGGTTTATCTAATTGCTTACACACCCGACTGGCTCTTTTGTCTGGCGGAGAACGTAAGAAAGTAGCATTAGCAGTACAACTGCTAAATGACCCACCTATTCTATTTTGTGATGAAATAACAACTGGACTCGACAGTTACTCGGCAACTCACATTGTGAACACATTAAGGAAAATAGCCCATTCTGGAAAAATTGTAGTGTGCACAATTCATCAACCCGCATCTGGTATATTTGATAAATTCGACGACGTGGCGCTCTTGACAAACGGACAATTAGTGTACCAAGGACCTGTATCATTAGTGAATGAATTATTTCAAAAGTATGATTGTTATTACTTTTATTATTTTAGTCTGTAGTAATTTTATAGCAAATAAAGTTTCGTTTTGAAGGTACAATTATGTATGTCCGGTTACGTTTAACAAGGCAGATTTCTTCATATCCATTTTGAACTCTGACAATCCAAAAGACAAACAAAATGTTGATGATATGTGTTATTTATCATCGACCGTAACCCAAATGAATATTAAATACAATTCGTTTAATAAGAATGTAAGTTAAAAATATTAAAATTTGTATAAAATTATTATTACCTACTTAACTTTGTAATATTTTTTTAGGTACAAGATGAGTATGGGCATCACCTACAAGCGTAAGTACTTAGCATACTTAAGTTAGTTCAGTAGGTGCTCGATGATAAAGTGTGATTTTTATATAATAGTCATAGTTTAGTTTTATTCGAATAATTTGTTTGTTAGGTGCAACCATAATTTAAAAATATATATATATCTCTAATTCAATTATTACTCATTAAATTATTTATGTCATAACAAAGCAATAAACATTACTTATTTGTCATAAAAAAAATTATTTGAAAATTTTTAATTTTTAAATTTTAATTTTTCCTAATACTGATTTTAATAATAATTATACATTTTTCAGAATTAAGCTCCGTTGGATAACACAGCTGATATTACTCTTGTACCGATCTTTGTTATGTTTCATTCGCAACTACAAAAGCAATGCTCTAGAATTTGGAGTGCTATTGGTAAGAAAAATATAATTCTTTTATTTTTAAACAAAATTTTAATATATTTTGTCGTTTTACTAAGTGTAGTTCTTGGGCATTATTACTGCTCTACCATATAGCAACTTACAGTATGACACCAAAGCCGTACAGAATTGGCAAGGCTTTTGGTTCTGTCTAGTTATCAACTCCGTGTTTCATTTTAGTTACGGTGCTATGTACACACATAATAAATATTTCACGGTCGTCCACAGAGAAATCAGCAACAAATTGTATTCGTTGAGTGCACATTATACCGCTGAAAAAATTGTAATGGTAAATAGAATGGCAAACTAGTTATACCTAATGTTATGTTTTTAATAATGCCTAACCAGTAATCGAATTGGGGAGGACGTGGGGGGACCGAGTACCCTAACTAATTTGTATAAGATAAAAAAATAATGCTGGGTACACTCTGTTTTTAAAATTAAAAACGTCTCCCTACTTTAATTTTTCCAATTCGAGCACTGTGCGCAACTGTTATAAATGGCGATAATTAAAATTATCGATATTTTTCAGATTCTTTGGACTGTTCTGCAATCAATAATTTATGCTATAATAGTTTTCTGGGTGGTTGGTATTAAATGGGTGTATCTTCAACTATTCTCTTTTGTCCTATTACTTGTAACTTCTAAATCGTATGGTAACTTATTTCAAATTCTATAATTTTTAATTGAAATGTAAAAAAAAAAGTTAACTGTGTAATTACATTATAGGAAGTTTGATGTCTGCATTTTTTGCTGATGTAGAAATAGCTATAATGGTTACGTTAGTTTATGACTATATATCGTTGCCGGTTTGTGGTGCTTATATATCCTATGCGTAAGTATTTAAATTTTAAAGTAACTAATTAGTTATGTTTATATATATATTAAAAATAATTTATTCAAATAGGTCACTGCCAAAAATGTTTATCTATTTAAAGTATGTGTCGTTATTTTTTCTTGGTTGTGAAACCTTATCTATTCTTCAATGGGCAAACATCAAATCTTTACGTAAGTACACTGCAAGGATTAATACTTTAAGTAAAAAGAAATAATCGATTTATGATTATTAATAAATAAATCAATGATTTTGTTTATAGCATGCCATGATGTTACTAACTGTTTGGACAGTGGAAAAGCAGTGTTACTCAGCTATGGATTTTCAAGCGATCACTTATATTATGACTTGATATTATTAATAGTTATTAGTGTTTTCGTAAATGTATTAGGTTACTTTGGTATACTAATGAGAATAAAAAAACCACCTGCATATTAAAACTTTAAAAATATAATTTTTTGTTAATTTAAAAACCACAAAATTATAATGCCAAAAAAAGTATACTAATGACATTAAGTCAATAAAATAGTTCATTAGACATTAATAAAACAATTTCAATTTCTATTAATAAGGGGTCTACTCGCTAATTGTTTTTCTATTTCATTAATTCTTCTTTTTCCTGATAAAGGAGTCCTTCGATGTCCAAAATGATTTCTTAATGCTACAATAAGACTTACATGAACAATTTATACAAATACGTATAACCTACTTTTTTTTTCGTTTTTGCTAATGTACCTAATGAAATTTTTAAGTTTATTGTATTTTTCATTAAGTAATAGGTACATATTTGAAGTTTTTTAAGAAATATTGAGTCACAAACAACCATATAATATGTGTCTCATATATACTGCAGCCAAACTTCAGCCTAAGAAAAAGTATAAATTAAAACTAAAATCTTGAGTTTTGATAACAAATTCGAGTTAGTTAATCTAAATTACTAATAATGTATTTTGGATTTCTTCATTGTCCAGAAAAACCCTCCTCCGGTTTTTTGCGTTTTCTGAAAAATGGGATTTTTTATTTCAATCTACTCAAGTACCTACCTCTACCCCTTTTACAAATAGCAGAACAAATTAATGTAAATAAAAAGTTTACGAGACAATTTATTTTTATTATTAAATTAACAATATGCTGCTTAATTTGAGATTTCTTTAAGAACATTCGTGACTTATACTTAACCAAATTCATTGTCCATACATTTTTCACGAAAATGTATGGATTATAGACTTATGTATTTTAAAAAAATATACGAGATTTTGAGCTATAGCTAGAAATTAAGAAGCATGGCTGGCAATATGTTAAGGCTTTATTATGGAGGGAATGGAAACAGAGACATCATTAAAAAGGCATTTGCTTGCCTCCCCTTTTTTTGACATCATGCCGGTGTTGGAACGGTATTGGTCTAGCTATAAACCGCTGACATGATTCGTCTATAATAATAATTATGATGCGGAAGCGAAAAGAGACAGCTCTTGTCAGCATTTTCCAAAATTCAGTGAGTGCTATTCTCTGAATCTCGATGGATTTTTTAATAATTTTGACCGGGTACACTTTTGTACACATTTTACTGTTATTGCAATTTGAAGTTAACGAATGTTTCGGCTTTTTTCCAAATCAACTTTGCCAACAAGAGATTAATTTTGCTTTTCGCGTCATAATTATAGGATTAGGGTATTCTAACCTAATATATAGTAATAGCAGGCCACAGGACGACAGTGAATGTGAAATAATATTGAAATGTATATAAGCGTTTGTCACCCAGCCATCTGCGATGGTATTTGAGAACGATTAATATTCAAACACCCGCCCAAACTCAATTAGTGCGATTAGTATGCAATAATTTTTGTTTTAGATTTCCGAATGAGCCTTCAAGTCATAGTTATTTTAATTAAAATAGTTTATACTTATGCTTTTGCAACACTATCGATATTTTAAAATTAATAGTCTCTTGCTTCAATCTGAATTTTAATCTGTAAAAAATTATAATATTTAAATTATAATTGTTTGTAATTGCTGTAGAAAAATATGAGGCTTTAAAAGTAAACCTAAACCAAGCTATAAACATGTTTAGCAACAAGAGTACTAAGAATTTCCAGTTATATAAATATATGGGTCAAAACGCCGAATACGAACGAACGGTTGGAGCACCTCCCCGAGAACTTTTTGAAACTTAACCTGCATGTCTGTCTGGTATGGTGAAAAGAATGTTCTCAAATTTTTCCTATTATTTTGGCATGGTCGTAACTCGTATAAAGTATTTTTAGTTTTTTTCTTTACTCTCCTTTTTTATAGTATCTACGGCTATAAAAAATATATATATAATTAAAAATCAGTTTCTTATGTAAAATAATCTCAGCTTTTTGAAAACATTGTTTTTTTTTAGTTTAACAGTAAGTCATAAAAATTTAGTTTATAAACTAAAAAAATTTGTTTTTTCACGTTGCCCAAAATTTGAGGATTTTTCTAATACTTTTTTCAGAAAGCTGATATAATTTTACATACGAATTTAAATGTGTAGATTTCAAACTAAGTTCTCCATAAAAACGTTTAGAAAAAAAAAAAAGAGGTTAAATTTCACAGAAAACGGAAAATGATCTAATTTTTACATATGAAGGAAGGGCTGCGGGGAAAAAAGATCAATGTAAATTTTTTTTGAAAATGAGATTTTGGTATCAAATTATTTGTAATTGACGTATTGTATCTTTTATGCGCTCGAACCAGGAAATTGGGAAAAACAAATTAGTCGAGAGTAACGACCGCCGGAAGTTTAGGCATACAGGCAAAATGTATTACATTTTGAAATTAAAAACATGATTTTCTTAGAATGAAAAAAAATTGACATTGATCTTTTTTCCCCGCAGTCCTTCATATAGTGTTTTTAACTATTTTGATTACTGAGGTTGTTTTTCCCGTTTTTTAGATTTTTCTGGGTTGACCCCAGATTAAAAACATTTTGTAAAAAAAGCGTATCAATGTCCAATAGAAATATTATTGTCAGATCCACAGTGAGGTTATTGTAATGTGAAATTGGAACTCGGCCATCGGTGGACGGTGACTAAAATAGAATTATTTTCAATTTACCCATGATCTCTCAACTAATTCTAAGTTGGATTAAGACCTGTGTCGTGACTCGTTCATTAGACCAACGTGCCTATTGAACAAAATATGATTGATTGTATATTATCCCTGATAGATACACTTGACAGCTTACAATAGTGTACTTTGGAATTATTACACAGTTCCAAATCCATTTAATCAAAGTAAATTTATAATATTAATTAAATCTATCATTAACCCCCCCCCCCCCCCGAAATTATATCCTATATACGCCACTGTATATAATATTATAATAAGCTAATAAACGAGTCTTTGACGCTTAATAATAACTGTTTGTTGACTATATTGGTGTTTTTATGATCATCGATTATTATATTATTTAATATAAAACTCACAAATTATCATTCAGTACTATTTTAATATTAATTGATATAAACATATATATATATATATATATATATACTATATATATATATATATATATATACACGAAGGGAATGTTCATCTCAACGCGATATTCATTTGAATATATTAAAACCTGATAATAATTATCATAAACCGACGGTATTGTACTTTTATTATACCTACTATATATATTATTCCGTAGCTTATACCCTCGTTGTCACCTCGGATATTCATAGATATTCAAACAAATCTAACCGGTTTGCCTTCGCCTAGCGTTTACCTACCTTCTCAAATTGTTTACACGTGTATGATAAAATATAAATAATATATATTTTGTTTAATCTCCAGTCGCGGTGCGTTCAAACTCCAACGCGGTCGTCGATGCCTGTTGGGCTGCGCCAGTAATACACTTGTGTCCGGCCGAATAACGTCGAAATTTTTGAACTCGCACGCCAAAAGAGTTACATCATATTATAGCAGTTAGTCTAAACACCGGTATACCGCCTGTTATTGTTATATCTACCTATTGAACACATTAAACTACACACCATGTCACCCGTGAGTAACCTTTTATTATTATTATCGTAACAATTAATATCGACGGCATAAATGCACTATTTTTGGGAAATCGAGTCAAGTGTGGACAGACATCTATAAAGTATCATCCTACCCACCGTGTACACATATTGGAAGCCGGAAATTCATAGTTTTGCTGTACTGGACTCGACAGTTCATTGCAGGACTTGACGTTTTCAATCATATCGTTCCAGTAAATGTTTTTTTTTTTTTTTTTTAACGCACTTATGACAACAATATCTGTGGACTATGCCGTCGATATACATATCACGTTGTTCACTATTACGACCGTTGTTTTTATATTTATATACTTTTCCCCCCTTGGCCATATTTCACGTAGAAAACTATGTTGGACTTGAGGTACAACGAAATGTGGAACGACTGGGACGGGTCGGCCGGCGATTTCGGAGAGCCTGTGATTTTGGAACAGCAGCAACACGGTCGTCTGGTGTTGTCTTGGAAACGGTTGAACGTGTCGGTTACGAAAAAAGTACACAGGCTCGTCAAGCCAACAAAAGTAACATCCAAACAGTTATTGTTCAACGGTGAGTCAGGTACCAGTTACCATACGTGGCCGAGGTCGGTAATGGCTTTTGTTTTTCGGTGGAAAGATATATGCAGCAACTCGATTGCTGTTAAATTAAATACTATTTGTTTTAAACAATAAAGAATACTACTCGTACGTACAAAAGTATATATATATATATAAGCATAAAGTAGGTACAGATTGGGTTAAAGTTATATACTCTATAATAGCAGTACGCATAGCGTAAGTATAAACCGGTTGACGCATTTCCAGTATCTGCTATTATTTGCATAATATACATTAATACATAATTAGTTATTTTAACATTACAAACGAGTGCCTAACGACGAACATAATTGCTCGATTAAACCAAATTAAAACATAAAGAATATTATGTTGCATAACATGTACAAACGTAAAAACGCAATAAGTGATTAATGCTTGATCGCACAAAACTTAATTGGTTCTTTATACTAAGACGTAGTAGGTTTATTTCAATCAAGAATCACGATTTGCGGCTTATGACACTAACACAATTTTGTGCAGCCCAATATTATTATTATTGTTGACTCGGGGGGATATAATTCCCCACCAGGCTAGCCCCCCCCCCCCGGGGCTCTTTGCATACATGTAAAAAAAAAATTATTACTATTGTTTGAACAAATATATATGGCTTCAATTGATTTGATTTAAAAAAGTGTACCTATACTATACGAATCTATATTGTACGTCAATAATTATTATCTCCTTTGAACTTTGTAATTATTGGTATAACTACAAAAAACTATAGGTAATAGCAAAATAGTTATTTTATTATCATTTTTCAATTACCATGGACATTTTATTTATTTATTTATGTACTAAATAAATCATTAAACAATTGGTGTACGTCTAAGTCCTAGGCATCAATGTTGTTTATTAAATAGATAGCGGTAACACGTGGTTA